CTGAGGCAACAGCCTCATTATAAGGACAGCCCTGACTAGAGTAAGTGCTCCATTTGAACATTTTCCCTCTATTCCTGTTCTGGTGACAACTCTGACATTTTGGATTGGCCGATCACTTTCAGTTGCAGCGACAACGGTAACGAGGTCAAACACAGAGGAGTCTATTTATAACTTGCAAAGCTTATTTGTCTAGTGAAACTGCAGGTACATTCTTTGTGTGTGAGTTTTCCAGCTGCTGTGAGAATGGGGCAAAATCAAAGTGTCATTTCTTTTTTGGTTGAATGTTCTTGTAATAAGTTCACTCATACAGAAAAGTGAGAATGGGGGAAATAGTGCATTATGGCCACTAGATGGAGCTGGGGATCATAGGAATAAATATTTATTACAGATATTTATATAGCATTGACAATTTAGACAGTGCCATTTGCATCCCTTCCCTTTTAGATTGTAAGTCCTAAGGGGCAGGGCCCTTCTTACCATCTTGTCTTGAATTGTATTGTGATTGTAACGTCTTCCTTATATTGTAAAGCGCTGCGCAAACTGTTGACGCTATATAAATCCTGTACAATAATAATAACAATAATCAGTCCCTTCCCTAAAGGAGCGTTCAATCTAAGGACCATATCTCACATACAGGGCTGATTTAGACAGAAGCCAATTAACCTTCCAGCATGTCTTTTTGGAGTGTGGGAGGAAACCCACGCAACCACTGGGAGAACATGGAAACTCCAAGCATAAAATGTGTTGACCAGCATAAGAACCAGTGACCCCCACTGCTGCAGAACAGAAGTACTAACCACTGTGCTGCCCAAAGTAAGTTAGGAGATGCAATGTTAAAATTCAAGAGAATGAGCACATAGATGTAACCATTGCTATCCCTGTAGTATCACCAGTTACATTTATATGCTCATTCTCTCCAGTGGTCTCTTGAATTTTAACATTGTATCTCCTTACTAACAATCTACCCGAGACACAGATAGAAAGACACAACTGGCAGAGGCTTTAACCTTTCTCTATGCCCCCATTCACACTTGAGCAACAAAGTTTTTAGACAATTTTGAAGCTTTTATTGTACATTTTTGCACTTCTTTTGTGAATTTCTCAGACATTTTCAGGCTTGGGCATTTTTGTATGTAGCCGAAAGAAAGCTACTAGGAGGAAGAGATGGTTGTTAGGCAAAAGTGCACCAAAAAATGCATGTTGCATACGCTTCTCAGGCACCCGCACTGGAGTCTGTTGGGGCCAAAAATGCACGATCATGCCCCAAAGAACTCCTGTACTTTTTCTGAGTGGAGCAGACCATCAAGAGAGACTGAACAGTATTTTTGGAGCTAATAAAGTTGCTTTTATTGCAATTATGGTATCAAAGTGCATCTGTCTCTGGATTTAGAGACTGAGTACATCAGGAGCATGGACGAGCTCCATGGGTCCATACCAGATCTCTTTCTGCACTGGCTGTTTCCGATACACTGGGAAGGAGTGGTCACACATTTTTTCACATGATGTTACTTTTTCAGAGCACTTCATATGTGAACGGACACAACTGAATAACATGGAAACGAGTGAGCATAGAAAAATGCTTCAGGAGACACACTTTAAATGGCTCAGGTGTGAATGAGGGCTAAAGAAAACTAGATGGAAGCTTCGTCTTGGAGCTACAATGCTGAGCTCAGACAAGCTCCTGGAAGATAAAACTTGTATATGGGTAAGTTGCATGAACTAACAAAACCAAAAGTTGCCTGAAGATGAAAAAAACATACAGTACCTTTCCCTTGAAATCTTAATAAATACGCACATATCACTCTTTTTATATTAAGTAGAGATCCAGCTCCTTTTTTTTTCCTAAAGTTTCCCAGGGATAATATATATTATATTTATTTTATATAAAAGCATTCATAGGGTAAATTATAAATTATATTTGTGGTTTTTCCATTACACTGGAGCAAAACTGTGACATCACAGTCAAATCACAGCCCCTCCCCCAATCAGAAAACAGCTAGTATTCTTTAAGAAAAACAGTAGGCGCCCTTTGAATGGCCGCTGTGCTGAGCAAGTGACCGGCTGTGTCTTAACAGCAGAGGCGAAGTTGCTCAGCACCAGAGGCGTCCCAAAGGCAGGGTGACACCCGGTGCGGGTACAGGGTGACACCCCGCCGTGACGTCATCATGTACTCACTTGATGACATCATACGCTATACCACAGTTACAGATGCCGGCAGGGAAATGAGGGGACGTTCACCCAGCGGGATAAAGTATGCCACATGGTCCCCTCCTCTCTCTCGAGCAACTGTTGGGCTCTTGGTACATGACCAAGTGCCCGACTTTTCAGAGGGGGTGACACCAAAATGACTGACAGTTATTTTGGTGTCACCCGGGTGCGGGCTGCAACCCCCGCACCCCCCCTTGAGACGCCACTTCTCAGCACAGGGGCTGTTTCTACACCCAGAAGATGATGTAATACACATTAGTAGCTGAAACTACTACAATGTATTACATGATCCCTATGGCCCTGCCAGGAATCATTTATATATACTTACATTATGCCAAGCTGGACCAATGTAAGTGAATTCATTTTTAAAGTTGGAGTTCTTCATAAGCTTGATGAATTTGGACCCTTTTAACCTAGCTCATGCTATGATTATACCACCAACTGATAGATACCTCCATTGTGCATTTCATCCATCTCCACCTTAGTGGGCAAGTCCCAGATCTTAAAGCCCAGCTGAAGTCGCAGAAACACAATCTTAGTCAGATAGACTTTGTACTAACAACCTCCATTTTTATAACCTTACCTGTGCTATGCTATCACACTGCAGCTGTGCCAGATATCTAAATATGTGCAGTTCCATAAGCGCCCGGTGCAGTAATGTAATATAGGCCTGGCCACACGCTCCCTCCACTCCTCTCCAATACAAGTCTTTGGGAGGAAATTTTTTCTAAGGGGTGTGACTGTTACTCAGCTCTGTAAACACAGAGCACTGACATGTGAGGGCAAGAAGCAGCATTTCACTGATAGAAAAGTATTTTTTTTAAAGCACGTGCAAGCAAAAAAAATCAGTCATAAATCATTATGTGTGGGTTCAGTGCTATATAAAGATTAAAAGGAGTGCGGACTTCAAGTGGGCTTTAAACTATAAATGGAGTGGGGTTTATAGGGGTATATGGGGTTTATAACAGGCAAGCCTAAGGCCTCATTCACACGAGAAACAGCCGGGATGTACAGCTCCGTGCTGCGGGGACGGTCGTATCATGCAGCTCCCGGGAAGGACAGGTGCTCTGTGTGATTAGTTCGCAGCCCTGTCTTTCTCTATGGGACTAAGCGGCTGTATGCCGCCCTATGCTCACCCCAAGTGCAGGTCCGGTGCGGGTGTCCCGGCTCGGACGCAGACGGGATCCCACACCATACGGACGTGCAGGGCAGGTAGGCGTAGGGCGTCGTACAGCCGCTTAGTCCCATAGAGAAGGACAGGCTGCTGCGAACTAATCACACAGAGCACCTGTCCTTCCCGGGAGCTGCCCGATACGGCCGTCCCCGCAGCACGGAGCTGTACGTGCCGGCCCTTTTTTGTGTGAATGAGGCCTAAATCTGACCCAGTCTGTTGCTCAAGGTATGGCTGGGGTGCACTATAGGTGCGACTTGTGGCAGATTTTAAAAATGTGCTACGAAAGGCCACCTTATATGAACACATTTTTCTTTTGTAAATGCTCAAAGTGTATGTATAGTCAAAACAATCATTTTGGATACAGTAGGGACGTTTTAAAAACTCTACCAGGTTATTTTTTGCTGTCTGCATATCATTGGTAAATTTCCCCATGCTTCCTATCCCAGACTTGCAACAGGAAGTTAGAGCAAAGCCCCCAATGTGAGGGGAATTCCCCTCTTCGACAGCTGGAACAGATGTCCCCATTGGAAGATTTCCCCTCATTTCCTGTTCCGTGAACAACTCTATAATTTTGGATTTCCCCTTTTTTCAGTAACAATGATCACAAGTACAAGTAGAGGGGTAAATGAGGATGCACCAATACCGATACTAGTATCGGTGCCAATACCAAGTATCTGGACAACTACTCATACTCGCCCAATTGCTCCGATGCCTGAGCTTCCGGTATCAGGAAGCCGGGCAGCGAGTCATTACACGCTGCCTGGCTTCCTGATTGGCCGGGAAGCAGGGTCCATGCTCTCTCGTCAATTGGTGATGAGGGAGCCTGGAGCCGGCTCTCCCGCCAATCAGGAAGTCGGGCAGCATGTGACTTGCCGCATAGCTTCCTGATTGGTCGGGAAGCCGTCCAATCAGCAAGCCGAACGGCGAGATTTTACCCGTCTGGCTTTTTGAGTCTGGCTTTTTGATTGGCTAGAAAGCCGGCTTCATGCTCCTTCATCACCTGGTGATGAGGGAGCATGGAGCTGGCTTCACGGGCAATCGGCAAGCAGGGCACCGTGTAATGACTCGTTGCCCGGCTTCCTGATTGGCCAGTTTTTCAACCAATCAGGACGCCGGGCAACTAGTCATTACATGGCGCCCGGCTTCCTGATTGGCCAGCTGGAAGCCAATCAAATTTGGTGAAGAAGGAGCATGGGGACGGCTTCCCTGCTATTTGGGAAGCCGGTTGGCGAGTCTTTACACGCCGCCCGGCTTCCCGGCTAATCAGTATCTACACTTTAAGTACATCGGCTTTGTATAAAATAATTTGTATCGTTTCCCATTACTGGATTTTAGAGAAAATTCACAACATAATAAAACAAGGAGCAACTTCCTGCTGCCCAGAAATATTGCCACCTTAGCTGTGGGCCTATGTGGCCCTTCCATCGATCTGGGCCTGGTGGCAGTCTCTGCCTCCCCCCCCCTTTGGCAGTGGGAGTCCATTCCACCAACTACAATGTATACATGCAGTAATAAACACAATGGCAATATCTTACAAAAAGCTGTACAGGTGACAACACAAATCAGAGCACATCCGGCGCGTGACGGAAGAGAAGAGGGCTTTTCCCCATTCATGTATTTATAGGTCGACGCAGTCCCCGATGAGACATATCTGTAAAGTCATTGCCAGTAACTGGCAGCAGGCTGAGGTATTCCACCAATATGGCCACTCTCTTTACAACGATACAAGGTACTGCACCACGTTCACCACGCCTTCCATGTTGTCATTCACCTGCAAAAGAGAAAATGCAATGAGAACAACAGGCCTAATACTGGACCAAAACACCTGAACCAAGAACTGTCTGTGCTCCATTACACATCATTTGGGGGAATTTGTCAAAACTGGAGCAGAAATAATCTGGAGCAGTTGCCCGTGGCAACCCTTTAGCATCTCTTTTCAGTTTGTTCAGTTCAGCTTTAAAAATGAAAGATAGAAGCTGATTGGCTGCCATGGGCAACTGCTCCACATTCCATCTGCTCCAGTTTTGATCAGCGTCTGTGGAAAGAACAGTTCTTGATGCTAACAAAAATTAATTAGATTCGCCCTTTAACTTTTCCAGTGCATTATGGGGGAAGGTCAGGAAGATTCTGGTTGCTAGGAGCAACAGGTTCTGTTTTTTTTCACAGGGCAAGTTTTAGTTTCCTGATCACACTTCCAGTACAAGGTCAGCAAGGAAGTAGCTGGTTGCCATGGGCCAGTGGCGCCACAAGGGGGGTGCAGCTCGCACCGTGGTGCCACCATTGGAGGGGTGACACCAAAACGACTGACAGTCATTTTGGTGTCACCTCCTATGAAATGTCGGGCACTCGCTCCAGGTGTCACCCAGCCTCGGGACGCCCTTACCATGGGTAACACAGAAATTTAATCTAGGCCTTTGCAATCAATGCCTTAAAGCAGAACTACACCCGCCTATCCTTAACAGCTATGGAAGGAGCCATCTTGGCCTCTATTTGGATTGCAGTTGCCATGGTGCTGCACATGTGGCCAGCTATGATATCAGCCATTTGAGGACTTTAAAGTTTGGCTGAGATCTGAAATTAGCACACAGCCAACAAGGACGGTTTCCATGCCTTGAAAGTGGTTAGCATTTCTGCCTTGCAGCATGAACGGTCCCCGGTTCAAACCCCAGTCATGTCACATCTGTAAAGAGTTTGCATATTCTTCCTGTGTTTTTGTGACATAGGGACCTTAGATTGTAAGCTCCTTGAGGGCAAGGACTGATGTGAATGTGTAAAGCTCTGCGTAAAATGTTGATGCGATATAAATACCTATGATAAATAAAAAAAATGGAGGGCAGGCAATAAAACAAACTGACCGGCCTGTTCACAATCTTCTCTAGAATGTACGCTGTGAAGCTCACTGTAAATTCTTAACACAACACGGTGTGCGCATCTGCAGAAGTTATGTCATACTGACCAAGGCCAATCAGGATTGTCCAAAGTGATCCTGGAGGAAGACCGAGTGAAGATGTCAGTGCCAGGGAGGGAAGTTATGTTTTAAAACCATCCAATGATGGAAATGACGATTCCGATTGAATCAGACATTTTCAAATGGAATTCTACACACACAGGCCAACTTAAAAAGCAGTGCTGTACCGATGTGCTTTACAAATGTGCATTGTGCTCGGGTTTCGGGATTCGAGATTGTGAAGCCGAAGAAGTGCAAAAAAATTAATGGAATGATCCGAAAATGAGGCATTTTACAGATCTTACAGAAGCTGGGAAATATTCAGGAATGAGGAATCTTATATAGGCCGAGAATAATCAGATAATTAGGCATTTTACTGATCTAAAAGAATACTAGAATAATCTGGGAAAGAGACATCTACAGATCTTACCGAAGCCGGGAATAATCTGGGAAAGAGGCAGCTAGAGATCTTACAGAAGCCGGGAATGAACTGGGAATGAGGCATCTACAGATCTTGCAGGAGCCAGGAATGAACTGGCAATGAGACAGCTACAGATCTTAGAGATGTTGGGAATGAGCAGGGAATGAGGAATCTGCAGTTTTTACAGAAGCTGGGAATGTTCCAACAATGAGGCATCTACAGATCTTATAGATGCTGTGAATGAGGCATCTTAGAGATCTTACAGAAGCCAGGAATGATCCAAAAATGAGGCATCTACAGATCTTATAGATGCTGAGAATGATTTGAGATGAGGCATTTTACAGATCTTGCAGATGCTGGGAATGAAGCATCTACAGATCTTACAGAAGCTCAGAATGTTCCGGGAATTAGACATTTTACAGATCCTACAGAAGTCAAGAATGATCCGAGAATGAGGCATCTTACAGATCCTACAGAACCCAGGAATGATCTGAGAATGAGGGATCTTACAAATCCTACAGAAGCCACCAAGAATGATCCAAGAATGAGGACATTTTACAGATCCTACAGAAGCCAGGAATGATCTGAGAATGAGGACATCTTACAGATCCTACAGAAGCCAGGAATGATCTGAGAATGAGGACATCTTACAGATCCTACAGAAGCCAGGAATGATATGAGAATGAGGACATCTTACAGATCCTACAGAAGCCAGGAATGATCCAAGAATGAGGCATCTACAGATCTTGCAGAAGCTGGGAATGATCCAAGAATGAGGCATTTTACAGATCTTACAGAAGCCAGGAATGATCATAGAATGAGACATGTTACATATGGGAATGATCCAATAATGAGGCAGCCGGGAATGATCCAATAATGAGGCATCTCACAGATATTACAGAAGCCGGGAATTATGCATCTTACAAATCTTACAGGAACTAGGAATGATCTGGGAATAAGGCATCTTAGAGCTCATTCAGAATCCGGGAATGATCTGAGAATGAGACATCTTTCAGATCTTTCAGAAGCCAGGAATGATCTGGGAGTGTACACAGCAGGATGCATGCGCCATACGGCATACACAGAAATTAAAATATTGCTAGGAAAAAAGAGGAAGAAGTTTGTTTGGCAGAAGACACTTTGCATGTCTCTTCTGCCAATATTCCCTACCTCCCAGCAATTTGCTTATTTTTAGAGATAAATTCGGCTTTAATATTTGAAAAGGGAGAATTAATTGGGCATAGTATTTGGCCTATAATCTTACAGGCATGCTGTAATTGTAGTAGGCAGGTTATTGTATGAGACACATGAAGTCATTGTTCAGCATCTCCTGTGAATACATGTTACAAGACACCCAATCTGTCCTTTAACTGCTGATTATACAAGGATTCCTTATTTGCTCTGCACCACTAAGCTGGGAAGTATTTGTTCAGCTACAGCAAATAGACCTCAGTGATTGTAACATTGTTATTTGCAGCGAGTGAATAAATATTTTATAGCCGACATCCTGGACAAGAGAAACAAATAACAAGGAGCACTGGGAGTGTGATTTGTATATGAACAAGCACAAGCGTCTTTAAAAGGAGAACTATGAGGTGAGTGAAAATCGCTCATGGTTCGAGCCGACGTGTGACAATGAAACTGTCACACGTCGGCTCAATAGACCGGGAAGTGAGAGAACACATATGGTCGCTCGCTCACTTCTCGATCATGTCCCTGCAGAGAGCCGTGAGCGTCACTTACGGCTCCCTGCAGGGACTCCCCCTCCCCGCTCCGATCCTCCAGCACTGACTGGCGGAACGGACGGGGGAGAGGGTGGGCACAGCTGGCTCTGCCTCTACGTAGGCAGAGCCAGCTGTCAATCACGCAGCTGGGTGAAGCTCAACAGTAATCTCGAGATCCGTCCCGCATGCGGCGGTCTCAGTATACTGCGAGCTGTAGCTCGCGGTATAATGAGCTCTGGGTCACGGGAGGACGCTAGTTTGTGTCCTCCCGTTGACCCTTAGGAGAACTATGGGGAAAAGCACTGACCCCATAGTTCTCCTTTAAATCTAAACTCAAGAGCAGAAATGTCATATTGCAGCTTACCATGTTCCTTGTCAGCACATGTGTATGCATCAGAACCTAATTGGCTCTGAGTACAGACCCCTCCTCTCCCAGTCTACTGTACAAGGGGTTGCAAGAAGCTGACATCAAAGGAGATTCAAGTTTTTACACCAATTGCATGTAAAACACATCGCTCAATTTTTTAATGACTACATAATTGCATAATGACACTGCAATACCAAATTTCACCAGCAGATGGTAATACAGATAAAATGTATCTTTCCAGACCCTGAAGAATGGTAGGACAATATTGGAGTTGAGGGTGTGGTACCAGCCAAGCCCTTTGTGTTACCCTAAGGAAGGGGTTATAAACATGCAAGGTGATTTTTCATGTTAGTCACACTTACGATTGTGGATCATTCTGAGCTTGCTCTGGGACATGTTGGATGACCTCATAGATGGTGCAGTTTATATCCTGGAGATGTAAGACACTTGCTGCTTGTCCTGGGGCCTATGTAGAATAAAAGAAATGTATTAATGGGCTGGTAAACCATAATTAGAGTGTTCTATATCACAGAACTATGACTATGGCTTAAAATGCTAGCGGTAGCACAACAGTGGCTCAGTGGTTAGCATTTCTGCCTTGTAGCACTGGGGGTCCCTGGTTCAAATACTGGTCTGGATACTGTCTGCAAGGAGCCTCCTCTACTGTCTGCTGTCACCTCCTCCCATGACCTTCTACTCTCGCTCCCTCGTCACCACCTCCATGCTCTGTAACCTCCTCTCATGACCTCCTACTCTCGCTCCCTCGTCACCACCTCCATGCTCTGTAACTTCCTCCCATGACCTCCTACTCTCGCTCCCTCGTCACCACCTCCATGCTCTGTAACTTCCTCCCATGACCGCCTACTCTCGCTCCCTCGTCACCACCTCCATGCTCTATAACCTTCTCGTCACCTTCTCCCATGCTCATCTTCAGGACTTCTCCAGAGTCTCTTCCATCCTCTGGAACTCCCTACCACAACCTGTATGGCTATCTCCTACTCTGTCCACCTTTAGGGGATCCCTAAAAACTAATCTCTTGAGGGAAGCCTATCCCATCTCTACCTAACAACTGAATTATTACTTTCTCCATCAACTCATCCCCCCATAGTTTGTATTGTAACTATGCTGTATCCCTTTATCCTGTATATCTTTATATTGTTAATAGTGATTGCAAGCAAAAAGTAACTTTAGAAAGCCAAGTTGTTCTCGTTAAAATGCAAGCCTGGTATTTATATATTGAAGCCGCCTCATCTACGTTTATATATAGACCATCCTGTGATGTATCATAGATCCACAGAGAACATCCGCCATATGGTAAATATCTGTATAAAGTCACTTTCAACCTTTATTTCCAAAAACACAAATGCCGCAGTGATGTGATTCTTATATCTAGATATCGTTATTGCTGCAGCAACAGAAAACCATGTAACGTGGAGCTCACACTGCACCTTATCTATGAGTGTGTATGGAAACCTGAGCAATGATCTTCTCTTATTTGCTCCCCTTTGGCCTGTTAAATACCATTGAAAGTGTTTTGTTATATTTGTTAGATAAGTGAAGTCTAGTGAACGCTGTCATCCTAGGAGAGGAAGTGTGTGATTGACAGGATCACCAAGGGGAAAATAAAGCAGCCTGGGAAAAATAAAACTAAAGCAGCCACCACACCTAAGGACTTGTAAGTGGCAATATATTACATTTTGTTCTTTGGTTTAGAAAAAATTTGCCATCCATCTTCACACATGATAAAATCAGAATTTTTGGCTAGAAAACAGCTTAAAACCCTCAAACAATGATATATTTTCTGAAAGCAGAAGCCCTGTAGAATAAAAAAAAAAATGCTAGTTGCAATTTTTTATGTCACATTATATTTGCAAAAATGTTTATTAAAACAATATTTTAGGGTAAAATACACAAAAATTAATTTTAGTGCATACAAACACAATATATTACCCAGTTTTTTTGGAAAAATATAAAAGACGGGGTCACATCGGGTAAATAGATAACAAACATGTTAAGCCTTAAAATTTTCCGTGCTCGTGAAATCGCAGAAAATTACAATACCCAAAATTGCCCATAGGCGATGCTTTAAGAGCTTTCACTGCTCATCAATTTGGTGTTCACACAGATTGATGGCTCTAGAAATATTGCTCGCAATCCGACGTTCATGGTGATATGGAACATGTGTGGCGCAATCATTGTTTTTTGCACATAGGCACACCCAGCGCATGTTCACGTGTGTATGTGCGTGTACGTGGGGACAGGGGATATATAAATATGTATATGTGTGTGTGTGTGACTGTAATTTTTTAAGCCTTTTTTCCTTTTTTTTGTATTTATATAACTTTATTGTTATCACATAGGGAGCTACCAAGCCCTCTTTGAGATAGCAAATACATTGTGACAGATGCTCTTTATGGAGACATCAGGGGTCTATTAGCCCCCTAATGTCACCTACAGAGCCCAAAGAGGATATGATGTAGAGGTCGTGGTTTAACAGCTTCTGTTCTACAGCAGCCAGAGAAATTACACATTAAAACCCGGCACACCCAGCGCGTGAACACACATGCTGGGTGTGCCTATGTGCGAAAAACGATGATTACGCCACACATGTTCCATATCACCATGAACGGCGGGTTGCGAGCAATATTTCTAGAGCCATCAATCACTGTGAACACCAAATGGATATCATACACATCGCTTCTGCTTTCAGTGAATAGAGGGGAGATCAGCTGCTGGAAATGTGCTGATCTCCCTCCGATCGAGGTGGACAGACCCACTGTGCCGGA